TCATGAGTGACAATTAATAATTCAGTATAGAAAACCCATCTTTTAATTACTAAGGGAAAATAAAACAATTACTTTCCTTTTGTCAAGCTGTTAGGCTGCCCTTAAGCATGCTTCAAACATATGAAATATAGACTAGGCAGGATCTATGTAGGTCTTTGGTTTTATCTAACAATTGAGTTATTAAAATTAAAATGGGTGACCTTTAATTACCATAACCAAACTGATCATGCAGGTCCAATAAAACCACTTCCAGGAATCCAGTTGCCTTGGAAAATATGGAGCCACCCAGAGGTGGTATTTAGCGGTTCGGACCGGTTCAACGACAATTTGAATTGGTTCGCCGAACCAGTAAATACAACTTCTGGTTGGCCCCTCCCGGGCCCGCCCATTCGCTGCTCGCCCCTCCTGCCCGCTCGCCACTCGTCCCTTGCATTGATTTATGAATGAGATTGAAAAGAGGGTTGACAGACTGATTTGTTTTCATCACAAAATAATTTCTTCAGATCTGAGGCCCATGCCCCCAAGGAACTTTTTGAGGGATATCCTTTGGGTCAATGTGATTGATCTGTAGAAATCCCCACAGCATTATCTGAATTAAAATTGATCTGAGCTTCCTTTTGCTGACAAGGCAAAGGCTGGAAGAACAGATTTCCAAAGATATAAATCAGTAAAAGAAAAGACACTGTGAAAGCATTCCAAACTGCTGTGTCTCAGATATGAGCCCTATTTATAGTAAAACAAAAATTCATTCTTGCACCTCTTGTCTGAGTGATACAACAGGGTAAATGTCTCCTGTTTTTGGACAGGAAGCCAAGTTTCCTTCTGTCTTTTATTTTGCTAATGGACAGATTCGGAATTTTGCTTCTCGCTGCATGAGAACTCTTACAAATAACTGACAGCCTCCTGTGAATCAGGGTCCCTACCCCAATTAACATTTTTTTCAGATACTTGAAAATATAATAATAGAATGGTTAGCTGACAGGCTGCAAATCGTCTTGAATCATCTTCATTTAGAATGACTCTGGATCTCACATCTCAGCTCCATTCATATAAAATCAAAATAGTGGGCAGCTGCAATTAAATGCTTTATTTATAAATCTGCCTGATGGCCTAGGAAAAAAAAAGACCAAGGTAAGCTAAATGGTGAGAGCCAGTTTGGTGTGGTAGTTAAAGCACCAGGCTACTGTTGTGGCCCCGCCCTCTGAGCCTGTCCCATCGGAAGAAGAAAGCTCCGAGCATGAGGAAGAGGAGTCAGCCAGGCCTCCCTCTCCAGGCCCCTCCCCTCTGGCACTGTCTCAGGTGCCGGCCGAGGGAGAGGAGATTAACAGAGAGACAGGTGGCTTGGATGAGAGCGGAGGAGAAACATCATTCCTGGACGCACGCCTCCGAAGGCGTGATAAACGATTGCAGCAGCTCAGGAGGCGTGCTAGGGATTAGAACTGAGTCACTGGACCACACCCCAGAGACTATATAATAGAGGATGGTGGCCAGTGATCCCTGTGACGAACAAAACTAACCTTGGATAGTCACTAAAGCCTCGTCCGGAACTGCTGAGAGAAATATTATTCTGATTGGACTTTTTGTACGCTAAGTATCTTATCTTTCTGTTTTGTGGAAATAAATGCACTTGGCAGACGGTGTGTAAATCGCTGCCAAGTTGGAGATAAGACCTGGGTGTGTGCCAAAGTGTTTCCTTAACCCTCGGCTGGCTGTGTTTGTGTGTGTGTGTGGACGGGGACAGATCAGCTACAAATTCAGAGACCATGAGTTGTAGGCCCGTTTTAGGCACAAAGCCAATTGGGTAACTTTGAGGCAACCGCTCTCTTTCAGGCCTAGGAAGCAGGCAATGGCAAACCACTTCTGAAATCTTACTAAAACTGCAGGGACTTAGCCAAGCAGTTCCACCAGGTGTCAACACTGATCAAATGGCAATGTGATCATGGCCCCCACCCCCCATGGTGAAATCCAAATTTTTTTACTACCAGTTCTGTGGGTGTGGTGTGGTGGGCATGGTGTGGCTTGGTAGGTGTGGCAGGGGAAGGATATTGCAAATTCGCCATTTCCACCCCACTCCTGGGGGAAGGATATTGCAAAATCTCCATTTCCACCCCACTCTGGGGCCAGCCAGAGGTGGTATTTGCCGGTTCTCCGAACTGCTCAAAATGTCCTCTACCAGTTTTCCAGAACCTGTCAGAACCTGCTGGATTTCACTCCTGGTCCCCCCCCCCACCCTCGCCCCACACACCAAAAAAATCTGAGTGGTAGTCAGAATCCTGAGGAACCAGAGGAGAATGCAAGAAATTGTCTAATTTGTCTTCTGGTAAACACTTGTTTGTGACTGGCAATGGTCACCATGGCAACTATTTTGTGAGTATAGGTCATCCTCAACCTATAGTCATCTGTTCAGCAACTGTTCGAAGTTATGATAGTGCTAAATAAATAATGGTTATCACTGGTCACAGCATCCCTGTGGTCATATGATTGTGACCAGGGTGCTTCGTATCTGGTTCACACTGACAACTGGTTGGAGTGCCCTGTAATCACAAGATCGCTATATGAAATTTCCCTGACTTCTCTGGAAAGTCAATGGGAAGCTGTCAGGGAAGGTTGCAAGTTGGTAGGGGAAAATGTCCCATATCTGTGCACATTCCCCTTATCTCACCACACCTCTCCTAAATCCCTGCACACCCTCCCCAATTTGTGCCGCACCCTTGTGCAACCTCCTTGACCCACACACGTCTTGCAATCCCCTTACACCCTTATTGACCCTCCTGCACACCCTCACCCTCCCCAAGATGCCCATGCACCCCACAACCTCATTCCTTTTTCTATCCAGCAGCATTTTCCTATCTGCTAGTCTGGGACTTACAACTTCCTGCTGGCTTCCCCACTGACTTTCACTGTGGGAAGCCAGCAGGAAGTCACCTCGCCTAACCACTATGGGATTTAGTTAACAATGGCAACAAGGACTGCTGGGATTGCTGTTACTAAGTGACATGGTCACACTTTACAATCCATAGCTTAGCAATTGAAATTCTGGTTCCAACTGCAGTCATAAGTCAAGGACTATCTGGAGGCAAGACCTCTGTCTCATCAGTCCTGAAGAATGACCTAACTCTCTCTGGATCAGTTTGAATCACTGCACTCTCTTTTTCTCTGTCAAAGTTAATATTGCCCAAAATTACCTTGAGGATAAAAAAGGTAAAAAACCTAAGCAAATGAAAGAAAGAAAGATAATTATGTAACCTCTCTTCCTTTGCTTTTTTGTCTTTAAATCAAGAACATCTACAATAGCATATAAAGGTAGTCCTCAACATACAAAGGCAGTGGAGCCTGCCCGTTATGATTGTATGTTGTGACAAACATATTGTTTATGTTTTTATGCAGTAGTAGTTAAATTAATCGCCATAAATGTTAAGCAAACTAAAGGTTTGCGATGGGCATGGTTTTGCCAAAAATTGGAAGTGCTATTTTTCTCCAAAACCATCATAAAATGTGATCACATGTTCATTGGACACTGCAAACGGCCTCAAATGCAACCGTGTTGCAGTTTGGATATGTGACTGCAGAGGGTCCCCCAACTGTCAGAATTTCAAATCCAGTCGCTAAGTGACCGGTCATAAACCAAGGACTATCTGTAAAATACCCCACTTGCAATATAATATTTATTGTTAATAATATCAAAGTGCAGGTTTTTTGGCTAATGTATTTCTAGTGAAGTAAACTTGGTTTCAGATGTAACAATTGGCACACAATTTTTTTCCCCTCCAGGATGAGATCGCATAGGTTACGTTACGCTTATGACTCTGACACAAAATGATGATTGTACTCTGTGTTCAGGGCAAAGATTTGATCTACGATATTCCCTTGATAGCTCCCTATTAGATGTAAATTTCAAAATGGAATAAAACTAATTCAATTCTACCATAACGAGAATAAAAAAATCTGCTAATTGGTCCTAGTAATATATAACGTTGAAAAGCTTTGTACAAATCTGATTTTCTATAGATTTATGAAGGTAAACTCAGCACACAAAAGCAAGCAGATTTGAGAATATCATTAAATGAAAAGCTTAAAACAAATGCAGGCCTTTGTATGCCAAGGGTTTCATCAACATTTATTGCACTTTGCTTATATAAATGCTAATATGAAGAAAAATATATTGTTCACGCAGATATGGAATTTATTACTAGCAGCTCTACTATTTTTGGCTAAATATACACTAGAGGGTGCTCCTGCAGTATCCTTTATATTACATCTTTTAACATAACATCCAGACCATTTGCTTCCATTCTGATTTTTGTCCCCTATTCCCAACAACATCAAAAGTTTCAGGAAAGGGCATCTTATCTCTATCTCTTAAATCAGGACACTAATTTATTTTGATTTTTTTAAAAAAGAAACTAAAGTTTACTCTGGGATGCATTAGAGTTCCTTTATTAAAAAATGGTACCTTTGTAAGAGAATAAACGCATGAAGTGTTTGAAGAAACGAAGTTAACCAGGAGTTTCCACTTCCCATCTATTTATTGGGAGTTCTTTAAAAGCAAATATGCTGAAATTCCTGTAAGGCCAGCTTGCCTGCCTGCCTTCCTTTCAACTTCCTGCTAGGGAATATATTTCAGGAAAGTCTCTGAAGACTGAATGCTTTGAGGAAAAAAGGCACGCATCATTTAATTTATTATGTGATAGATTCATGATACCGTACTGAGTAAACCAGTTATTTATTAACTAGGGAAATATAAATATATATTGAATATATATTGAAACATTAGTTTCACTCTTATTAACCAATAAACATATTAGCTTGGTTGCATGTTTGTTAACCCTTCATTTACCAGAGTGCAGCAAATTTTAGACTATCTAATAAAAGAGTTAATCCAGGACAAGTTATAGTACCACTTTTCAAGTGTCAATTACTCTGGTTTTTTGGCGGGGCAACGCACATATTATTTCTTCTGTGCAAAAAAAGAGGCATTGGTCCTGGGAAGTTAACAGTACCTGAGTTGTCCCCATAATGTCTGAGCTTTGTTTGCGTTGCAGGTATTCACAAGAGGCAGCAATGGGAGAACTTGTGCTGGTTACATTCGCCCTTCAGAGGCTGTGAAACCCTATGATGAGGAATGAACAGAAATGGGGAAAAAAATAATAGCAAAATGTTAGAAGCCCCCACACCCACACCCCTCTGCAAAAAAAAATAAAAAATAAGCCTAAATGCATGTGGAATTAATTTTTAAAAACAAACCAAACATTTCTTTAAAAAAAAAAAAAAGCATGGCCTTGCACCACATTTATTACAACCAAAGATATCCTTGGACAAGCAAGTCAGTGAACGGAGAGTTACAAATGGTGTGCTCAATAAAGTGTCTGGAAAAAAAAATTTTTTTTTAATTTGATTTATATGCCGCCCTTCTCCGGAGACTCAGGGTGGCTTACAATGCGTTAAGCAATAGCCTTCATACTTTTGTATATTTATACAAAGTCAGCTTATTGCCCCCACAAACTGGGTCCTTTTGTTTGTTTATATATTTATTTAAAAGATGCATGCTGCCTTTTAAAAGCAGGGTCTCCCAAGGTCGCTTACAATCCGTTAAAATCACCAAAGAATAATGGAGAGAGGTACCTAAAAGTTAGATCATAAGTAGTAGCAAGACAATAAAAGCAACTAGATTAGCTTAAAAGTAAAGAGTATATCTTTTTTAAATTAGCATATTGACTGAATGAAATGTCTTAAGAGAATAGTGTTGTCGTTGCTGGAGGCTAAAAAACAGTAATGTCAGAAATTGGTCATCCCTCTCTCTGGAGAGAGGATTCATTGACGCTCATTTAAAGGTTTGAAAATGGATGGACAATACACTACCTATTGATATTCCATGCCCGTGGATGCCTATTTAGTACCTGCAAACTTCCTACCCCATTTTCATTTCTATATTTAAAAATTAATTAAAATAATTTAACAGGAAAGTAGTAGGCTTTATAGGCCATCACAGAATATTTAAATGAAGGGTGGAAGATGAAGCACTAGGGAACACTTGGAAGGGAGCAAGTCACTGCTTTTCTTCCAATTAGAATGCATTTTGTGATTGTCTTTGCCCACTGTGACATCCACAGATAGTTCGAAGCCTGTCATGGTTCACAGTATGTCTAAAAGTACTATATTTTCACACCCACCCACATACCCAAGTTGTTTGCTTACTCCTGAAATGTTGCTTGCTTATTTCCTGGATATGGGGAAAAAGAATTCCACTATTTCAGGAATAACAACCTATGTACAACATATGCACAACATATGCACATATGTTTTAAAACAGGTTCTCCTAATTAGTCTCTCTATAAAGGTACTGGATAACAGTTCCTGGCATTACCAGCTAACCAAGTCTTTTGAATAGCATCCCTGTTTGTCTGGGAATTTGGGGGATTTTAAACCAATATATTGAGATACCTCTTAATATAGGTAATTCTTATTTATCAACCACAACACGGACCAGCGACTCCTTTGCTAAGCAACATGCATGTCACATGATTATGCTAATTTACAATGTCAGTTCCATCAATTCTGATTGTGGCCATTAAGTAAATGGCTGCAGATTGATAAGTGTGATATCATGTGACTAGCATTTTCAACTTCCCATCAACTTTACCCATTGACTTTTCTTGTTGGAAGCCACCTGTGGAGCTTGCAAATGGCAATCATGTGATCATAGGGAAGTCTGACTGTCATAATTGAGAATTGGTTGCCAAAATTCCAATCACATGACTATGGGGATGCTTCTTTTGGGACCCACATAAGTCTTGCTTTTCAGTGCTATTGTAAGTTCAACAGTCGCTGACTGAGAAGTCGGGAATTAAGGACTACTTATATAAACCAAAGTCCCAGAGTTGTTCTGAAATGGCATTCTACCGCTCATATTTCCCTACTCCCTTCAGCCACAGCCCCTGCTATTTCATCAGCAAGGAGAGATGAAAAAGGATCGGGCTCAAGATGTTATTCTTAATGGGGAATCAATCCATTTTTTTCCCTTCAAAGAAAAGAGCTGAGAAAATAAATGAGAGACATGAAAAGATAACTATATTGCCATTCAACTCCACAAACTCTACTTCCTCATCTCTGGTCAAACAGAATGCATAGCTTTCCTTGCTGGATTTCCTGTAATTCTTGCCCTGTTAATCAAATGAGATCAGGTCAGTGGTGGGATTCAAATAATTTAACAACTGGTTCTCTGCCCTAATGATTTCTTCCAAGAACCAGTTCACCAAACTGCTCAGAAAGTTAACAACCGGTTCTCCTGAAGTGGTGCGAACTGGCTGAATCCCACCACTGGATCAGGTTTGCATTCCAGGTTCCAAGAATATCAATTCTCCTTAAGCAAATAACTTGCCTTACCAAGCTATTTTTTAAAAAATGGAGAGAAGGCTGAGAGATGGCTATCCTTTTGCTTTGCATAGTTTAACAGCTATGCTAGTATTGTCTCCACGTAGAGCAATTAGATCAACACAAAACCCTTTTAATATGGAAAAGGCAACATTTAAAATATGTGTTATGCACTGTATGTTTATGTGTCTAACAAGATCTTTTCCTCGGGGAAGGCAATGTGTTCTCAGCTACACAAATGGCTCACATATTTATGCATAGCTCTCAAGTGGCATCAGACTGAAGACACTGTAATTTTTCACAGATCAAAATATCAGTTATTCTAATAAAATGCTAATAGCATAGCCATTCCCTGCACATAAAATATCAGCTTTTGACAGAAGTACTCAATAAAAACAACTTGTATTGTGATGGGATCATGCTTGCCTATAGGGGAAAAAAACCCACCTAAACATGTATGTAATGGTTTTTCTCAAAGGAAATAATAAATACGATATGCTGTGACCTAGTGCCACCTTATCTTTTTAAAAAAGTAGGATATTATTTTTGAAAATGAGTTAATGGATTATTTATAATACATAAATAAATCACAAATAAGTCATTGGGCACATCTTCTATTTGTAATTATAGATTTTAAATTTATTTTTTAACATTTAAAACTGAATGTAATAGGCTTCGCTGTTTAACATCCACTGCCACAATTTGCATATACACACAAACACACAAGAATTATCGGGTTTGTATAATATGGATAGATTTATTGTGGCTTTGGTTTACTACTTTGTGTATCCAGTAACAGTGATATTGTTAACAAGCCATGATTAAACAAGCCATAGCTTAAGGTTTAATATTTGAATACTCAGCCAATAAGTATGAACCTAGCCCTAATACTATAATCTATCTTCCATTATTTTAGTTGAACTGTACAGATAGTCCTTGGTTTGCAACCATTCATTTAGTGACCGAAGTTACAAGTGAGTTATTACTGCTCCTTGCACTTACAACCAGAGTAATTTCTACACAGCCTGTGATCAAAATTTGAGCACTTGGCAACCAGCATGTATTTATGACAGTGGCAGCATCTCAGAGTTATGTAATCATCATTTGCAACCTTCTCAGCTGGCTTCCAACAAGCAAAGTGAATGGAGAAATCTGGTTTTGCTTAATGATATATGATTCACTTAACAACCATGGAAAAAATATTTGGTGCAACTCACTTAACAACTGCCTTGCTTAACAATAGAAATTCTGATACAAATTGTGGTTATAAATTGAGAACTATCTGTAAGCATACGCACTGACATAGACAAACACCCAGCATACAATTAAAATACATTTTTTCTTTACCAAAAAAAAAAAAAAAAAAAAAAAAATAAAAAATTTTGGAAAACTGTAAAGAGAATGACTGAAATAGTTTTCTATATATTCCTGTTATCTGAGGATCAATCAGTTACTAATAATTTAGCAAATATAACCCCCGAACAGAGTAAGGACAGAATTAAGCAAAACATAGCACAATTATTGAGAAGGCTGTAAATCTAAATATTAGATTTACAACAGTAGCATCATTTTAATTTAAGCACTTCGAGAATTTTGCTGCAGGATTATAGCTATAAATATTTATGAATTAACTGACCCAGCCAAAGTGCATACAGTATTGAGCAACTGTGTAATAGTGACCTTGTTGTGATAATGCAAATAATATGGTGAGAACGTAGCCATGTTTTTAACAAACATGTCAACAGTTTATCTCAAAACATTTAACTCAGTGATCAATGTACCAAATAGCTATGTGTGTGTGTGTGTGTGTGTGTGTGCACCTAAAAATATGCCTAATAAGACAATGCTCAATATTTTTCTAGTCTAGATTTCAACAATATATGGAATAACAACCATATGTATAAGCCAGATGCAGCCAGGACCACTGCACCAAAATTGCATTGCTTTCATCTGATTAACAGTGAAAAGGCCAAGGGAATTCCAAAAAGACGTCTGTTTTTACTTTCTTGATAATGCAAGGGCTTTTGATTGTATTGGTCACAATGAATTATTCATAGCTCTTTTTTTAGAAAAAAAACCCGGGTATGGCAAAACCACCCGAACCAAGAATAGAATTATATCAATAAGAATTTCTTGTAGATGTAGTGCATCTGGTGTGACTTAAGAGAGTTGGATTTATGAGGGGAGACCTGGGTTCAAATGCATGCTTGGGTGTAATACTCTTTAAAATGTCTCCAGAAACCTTTACGCCTTATAGGTGTTCTGTAAATTTCACTTTTTGATGAGCATAGCTGTGTTTTTTTCCTTAACTGCAGCCTCTTCTTATGTAATGATACCCATTCAATTTCTCAGTAACCCTGTTGTTATTTATTGAATACATATAGTTGTGTTAAGACCTGCTAAAGTGAAATTAACCTTTAGATGACTCTAACTGTTAACTCCAACTGTTTTGGAGGGAAACTTAGAACATTCATATTTGGGTGGGCTTTTTCAAGTATTATGATTGGTTAAGGCTCTGTGGGCCCAGAGTATAAATTATAGGGATTCACTTGCAGTTCCTCAGTTCCAGTTTTTAGTCAATAAATGTTGTTGTATCTATTATGGTCTGTTTCTTGCCTGCTGAAGCCCATTACACAATACCTGTTGTGGATTTATGTGATATGGTTTCACAGTTGGCTCCTATTACCAGATTAATGTGCCTTTGGAACAGCTGTATCAAACTTTTGGCTTAATCTGTCT